GGGGGGGGGGCAGAGTGGAGGGGGTTTCAGGGTGACAAGACACTGAGTCCTCTTTTAACAGGCTGAACTTGGGGGCAGCGCATTCTGCACACTACTGAGTGTCATTCACACTGGTCCTGACCCAAGCCAAGCACAAACCAGCACTTCCCACAGCAGGAAGAAGCACGGAAAGATCCAGCCCAGATGCCTTCTCACAGCAGTGCACATGTGTATTGGGGACCAGGGCGCAGATGACTGAGCTAAGAAGGGACCGCTAAGGGATCCCCAGTCCATGCCATAGCTGTGGGATCATTCAAAATAAGTCAACGGGGGGAACTGAAGGTCAGCTCCTCATGCCCAGGAGTCGGACCTTCTGGGTTAAAGACCTCTCTGGGAAGCGTCACGGTCAGTGACCCTCTCCATCCTGGGCCAGCACGGAACAGACTGTCAGGCCATGGACAAAGCTTTTCTCCCAGAGAACAGATGGGCTCTGGAGGGACCACCCCAACAGCGGCCCCAGATGTGCAGAACTTCCTACATGTCTACATAAACCCCCACCCCCACATCTACTTTCTGCACTCCACACTGACACCCACCCCCACACCTACCTCCTACACGTCTATACAGAAACCCATCCCATCTACTTCCTACGTCTACACACTAGCCCTACATCTGCTTCTTGTGTATCTATAGACAGCAACCTGCATATTTAACTCCTGCATGTCTACACAGACACCACCTCTTTCCTAGAGCCTTCTCTCAAGGCTTCATCTTATCTTCCAGAGTCTTCTGTGCTTCCTCTGGTAGGTGATCTTCCCTATTCGTGGAACCTAGAACTGAGATGAAAAGGGATCCCCCGAGACCAGCTGAAACACTGTAACAGTTCAGGGCCCCTTGACTTCATCCAGGCTTATCCCAGGCCACAGGCTGCCCTGACACACCCATGTGCCCTGTGTGCATTCCCACAGTACTTCTCCACTCTCCTCACCTCCACAGAGTTCCATCACTACTTCTGATTTGTTCAGCACTGGAGCCTACTCCCCTGAGCAGGGCTGGCCTGGTCTGTGACCCCTGGTACTAGCTGGTAAATGTCCCTCTTGACAAGGAAGGAGGAGAGGGGTTGGTAAGGAGCAACAGGCTTAAGCCTCCAAGTCAGTCTTGTCAAGAGAAGCCCACCCAGTGACTTCCATCTTCATCTCATAGTCCCGCTGGCTCTAGGAAGGTGGCCATGTGGTCTCGCTGAAGCCATGCCACTCCCAACAGAATCGTGATCATTCCCAAAGAAGAAAGTCCCCTGCATTTTAGTTGTTTGGCAATTAGCAGTCTCTACCACAGCCTCATTAACATGATGATACTCTCCTGAGCTGATGTAAGAGGAAAGCCTGCTCGATCTCTCCAGCTGCCAGGAGATTGTGGTTGGCTCTGCGGTAACATCCCCACGATGCTGAGTTACAGCACACCTGGCTTACATATGCCCAGTTTTTTCTACTTACCAGATCTGTCCTACATTGACCAGGGACATGTAGAGGACCCAGAGTGCAGCCATGAGAACCATGTTGGCACAGCCAGTGACCAGGATGAAAGACGAGATGCCCAAGCCGAGCAGCGCAAGGGCATCCAGGTTGGAGTCCATGTGTGACCAGTCCAGCAGCCAGAGGACAGACGGGGCATAGCTCACGGCGCTCCAGCCTACCTGCCCCTGGAAGTGTTGCTGCACACTCTTCAGGTACACTCTGCAGGGCAGCAGTCCTCTGTCTCCAATCAGCTGCTTGTTCTGATGGAAAGCCACCAAGAATGCCACAACTGGAAGAAAAAGGAAAGGACAAAAGGAACGTGAGCAGGAACACACCATCCACGGACACCAGTGGGTGCTCTTCTGATGTGTGGGGCTTGGTTGGGCAAGAAGACAAGGCAGAGTCTGACCAATGATTTGAAACCAAAGCATAGATTTGGGGACTGAGTATTTCTCAAAATCTTGGGGGAAATTTTGGAAGACCCAACCTAGAGAAGTCGCGTGTATATGTATATATACCTACACATGTTGTATCTACTTATACACATTGTATATGTGTACATATAGACATACATGTATATAAAATATATACATGTAAATGGTCAGTTAACCACCCCAGACTGCACGCAGCATTCCCATTATAAATACATCCTGATAACCCATGGGTCTGGTCAATGGTGCTACTCCTGGAACTAGCTGCAGTGTTTGAAATTTATGATAGTGCTTACATGTAAGTCACGATTACCCTTCATTCAAACTACAGTTTCTGAATTCGTTTCTAACAATTGCCACTCCTACAAGAGCAGTCATGTCCTCTGGACTTCAGTGTGTATGTGGTTATGTTTGCAAAGAGAAGCTACAGGAGTGCATGGCACTCCTGTCTGTGAGCATGAAGAGGGAAACTCACAGCCACCAAGAGAGGAAAGGTAAGTAAAAGGCAGCTCAAAGCAGTTCCATATAGAGTGCTGGGATGACCACTGTGACACTGCTGGGTAGAAAACACACTCACACTGAAGGAGACACAGGCTGCACTTTGTAAAACGCTAAATACACTGCATCTCTACAGTGAAGAAAACTGCATCACAGGCAGGACTGTGGGCGAGATTGAGAACAAGGCGGTGGGTTAGGCTCACAGGAGTAACAGTGAGCATCTGCCCTTTCAGGAAAGTGGGCAACCCCTGGTCCAAAGCAAACAGTAACAATGAACTGTGTGTTTATAGCACATGTAAAGAAAAATATATAAGAAAACAGCACAAAAGCTGAAGGGAGATACTGGAAATATGCTCTTAGAAAGACCTAACGCTAGAAAGTGGCAGACTATTATGTGAAGGCAGATTCAGATTTACTTAGAATGTATTATATTGTAAAAGTCCTGTGGGAGAACAAAATGTTTTTTAAACAATTCTAAGGAATAAATCATAGATATGGATACTAAAATGAAATAATTAAAAAATGCTCCTTTAACCATAAAGAAACCAAGAAAAAAGGAGAAAAGAAACAAAACAGAAGGAACAAATAGAAAATAACTAGCAAAATGGTAGATTTTTTTTTTAAATCCTCACCCAAGGATATTTTTTCCATTGATTTTTTTTTTTTTTTTAGGGATAGTGGAGGAAGGGAGGAGGAAAGGAAGGAGAGGGGGGAGACAAACATCCACTTGAGAGAGAGACATCAATTGGAGCCTCCCACACGCTCCCCGAACATTCAATACTAAATGTGCATGTACCTAACAACAACGCACATGTACATGTAAAATGACCTAACCTAGTACATACATGTATATATTCTCTACATATTTTAACTTGAACCTAACTGATACTAACAGGTTGCCATACAGTATAAAAAAGCAAGACACAACTATATGACATCTTTAGAGCACTACTCAACAGCAAGATATATATAATTTTCAAGTTTACATGGAACATTCAGGAAGGCACACCATAGTATGAGCCATAAAGCAAATATCAACATATAGTAGCATTGAAATAGACAAAATATGTTTTCTGACCACACAGAATTAAACTAAAAATCATTAACAGGATATTATCTGGAAACATACTCAAGTCTTTGCAGATTAAACCACATACTTCTAAATAAACCATGGGTTTTTTAAAGGCACAGGAGAAATTACAAAATATTTTTAATTGAATGAAAATTGAAAAGACAGCATATCAGAAATCGTGGGATGCTGCTAAAGCAGTGCTTAAAGGAAAATTTACAGTGAAATGTCCATCTTAGAAAAATAGAAAGGTCTCAAATCTAAACTTCTCCTTTAAGAAATCAAAAAAAAATTACAAAACAAGCAGCAGGAAAGAAATCTCTTAAAAATTTAAGAGCAGAAATCAATAAAAGTGAGAACAAGAAAAAATAGGGAAAATCAATAATCCCAAAAGTTGGTTCTTTGAAAAGGTCGATATAATTAATTGACAGACCTCCAGCCAAACTGACCAAGTAAAAGAGAGAAGACTTCAATATCAGGAATGAAAAAGGAAACATTGTTACTGATCCCACAGACATTAAAAAGATAATAGCCCGGCTGGGCGTGGCTCAGCAGTTGAGCATCGACCTAGGATCCAGGTGATCGGGGTTCGATTCCTGGTCAGGGCACATGCCCGGGTTGCGGGCTGCAGCCGATCAATGACTCTCTCATCATTGATGTGTCTATCTCTCTCTCCCTCTCCTTTCCTCTCTATGAAATCAATAAAGATATATTAAAAAAAAAAAGGAACATTATAATCTGAGATCATAAATTTGACAACTTTGATGAAATAGACCAATTACTTGGAAGACAAACTAAAACTCACAAAAGATATAAAACAGTTTTTATTAACAGATGACATGACTGTCTATGTAGAAAATCCCAAATAATCTATTAAAAAAACTCCTGAAACTGATAAGTGAGTTTATGAAGGTCACAGAATACAAGATTAATATACAAAAAGTCAACTGTATTCCTCTTATATCAACAATGCACAACTATAATCTGAATTTTTAAAAAAAAATAACAGTAGCAACCAAAAAAGTGCATAAAACCTAACAGATTCTAATCTGTATGTGGAAAACTAAAAAACACTGATGAAAGAAAATCTAAATAAATGGATATGTCGTGTTCATGGATTGAAAAGTCAGCATGTCAAGTCTCCCCAATCTGACCTATAGATTCAATGTAGTCTCAATAAAAATATCCAGCAAGCTTTCATGTAGATACTTTCTGATTCTAAAATCTATATAGGAAAGCAAACTAGAATAGACAAAACAATTCTGATAAAGAACAAAGTTGGAGGGGCTCATATTATGCAATGTCAAGACTTACTACAAAGTTACAGTAATCAAGACAGTGTGATGCTGGCAAAAGGATAGACACATAAATCAATGGAACAGAACAGAGGGCCTAGAAATAGATCTACATAAATAAAGTCAATTGATTTGTGACAAAGGTGCAAAGTCAATCCTTTCAAAAAATGGTACTGGAACAACTGGATGTCCATATACAAAAAGATGAACCTTGACAATACCTCATACCTTGCACAAACATTTACTCCAAAAGAACCATGTCCCTCAATGTAAAATGTGAAAGTATAGAACTTCTGGAAGAAAATCTATGTGACTTGGGCCTGGCAATATGTTTTTAGATACAACACTAAAAGCATGATCCATGAAAGAAAAAAACTGATAAATTTGTACTTTATCAAATGAAAAGCTGTTGTTCTGTAAATAATACTTTTTTTAAATCCTCACCCAAGGATATTTTTTCCACTGCTTTTCAGAGAGAGTGGATGGGGGAGAGAGAGACAGAGAGAGAAACATCGATGTGCGAGAGACACATTGATTGGTTGCTTCCTCCACATGCCCTGACCAGGGGCCGGGGATCGAGCCTGCAACCGAGGTATGTTTCCCTTGGCTGGAATCAAACCCGGGACCCTTTAGTCCGCAGGCCGATGCTCTAACCACTGAGAAAAACTGGCTAGAGCAATAATACTTTTAAGAGAATGAAAAGACAAGCCATGGACTGGGAAAAAATATTGCAAATCATTATAAAGGACTTGTATCCAGAATATTTAAAGTAATGTTAAAACTTAATAAGAAAACAAAAACTCAAGTTTTAAAATAGGCAAAAGATCTGAACAGATGCCGAAGTCATCTGTTTCACACAAAGACGATATACAGATGTCAAATAAACACATGAAAAGATGCTCAATATCATTTGTTACTGGGGAAATGCCAATTAAAACCACAATGCAATATCACCACACACCTATCATAACAGCCAAAATCCAAAAAACTGAAAATACCAAATGCTCCAGAGGATTCAGAACAACAGGAACTCTCATTCATTGCTGGTGGGAATACAAATTGGTATGCCACTCTGGACGAGTTTGGCAGTTTCTTGTCGAGTTAAACATAGATTTACCACATGACCCAGCAATTATTCCCTCAGGTATTCACCCAAGTGAACTGAAAACACATTTACACAGAAACCTGCATGCAAATGTTTATAGGAGTTTTGTTCATAATTGCTAAAACTGGAAAACAAACATCACTGTCCCTCAACATGGAAGTGGGTAAACAAACTACAGTACATTTATACAATGGAATGATATTCAGAGACAAAAATGCAGGAGCTGCTGATCACGCAACAATGTGGATGAGTCTTAAGAGCATTTTGCTAAGTAAAAGAATCCAGACCCAAAGTCTAAGTACTATAGGATTCCATTCATACGGCATACTGGAAACAGAAAAACCACAGGGACAGACACAGATCAGAGCATGCCAGGAGCCGGTGGTGGTGGTGGGGGGGAGTGGCGAATACGTGCACAGGGAATTTTCAGGGGCTAGAACTATACTACAGGGTACTGGATGATGGATAACTATGCATTTGTCAAAACCCATAGAACTAACTGTACATCACAAAAATTGAACCTTAATGTATACAAACTATCAAAACAACCTAGCCAGGAGGTCAGGGGATGCCAGGATGGAATGCAGACTGTGACAAATGAATTGAACTCTATTGCAAATGTATAACAGACCACACTTAAAGGCAGGGTAAAGGGAGAGCTGGCCTAAGTAACTTTGGAAAATGTTTTGAGTGAAAACTGTTAAGGACAAAGACAAAAGGAATTGTATATAAACACTGGAGTCTAGTTGGTTTTTCTCACGGGGGTAGGTGAACAATTCTGAAACTGCTTTGCATGTGCACTGGGGGTGAGCAAATAAACAAACCATGGTGGATGGTGGGGCAAGATTTCTCACCGGTCGAGAAGGAAGTTGCAGATAAGCAAGAATGGGA